TTGAGAAGAATTTTTTTCTTGAGCACCAAATTGGCATATTAGAATGATTTTTGAAGGATCATGTGAAAATTTAGCTTTGCCGTTATTTGAAAAAATAAAAATGCTAAATATATTCAAATAAAAAGTTTTTAAATTATTTCAAATAAAAAGTTTCAAATATTCAAATAAAAAGTTTCAAACACAATATTACTGTTTTTACTGTATTTTTGGTCAAATAAATGCAGCCTAAATACATATATTTATGTATATGACCAAAAAAAGCCAGTTTTTAAGCCAGTTATTTATATATTTTGCTGTTGTGTGTCATTAGGAAATATCAGTTTACATTTCCATTTGCCATTTATTGTAATAATCCAGTGAGTGATTCTTGTATAGACAAGCGTTGCCACAGTTATTTTGGATAATAGTCTATCCCAATTTTTGTCTGTTTCTTCATGTGAGCACAGACAGACTTGAGGATGGTGAGATCAGATCTCTGTGTGGAGCTCTGGCTGTGGTCAAACACGTTCAGAAAAAAATTTCACTGGATTATTACCGTTAATGGCAAACAAATGAATTGTTGGAAATGTAAACTGATATTCCCTACTGACACACTACAGCAAAAATAATAAATAACTGGCTCAAAGCTATTTCTGTTTTTGTGAAAATATTATGCCTAAGACTTTTGCACAGTACTGTGTATATTAAAATAAAAAATTGATTTATTCATTTGATGTGTTATGTATATATGTACACATGTATATCAAACAATTGATGTCTCCCTCTTTCTCTCTCTAATACATATAAAGCAATTTGTGTGATTCTTTAATTGCGATAGAAGCTACAACTGTTGGTGTTTGATGTTTTCAGGAGAGCCGAGATCCACGAAAGCTCCACTGGCTTCTCGAGATGCTGATGGAGTGTCCTCTCAGCGGGGAAGGTGGATCATTTGTAGATGCCTGGTAAGTGTATATTGTGTTTAGGTTCATGGGCCAGTTCTGACACCATTCAGACTTTAAATGCAACCCTGATATTTACCATGATTTCTCTCTCGTAGCCATCTATATGTGCTGCAGGGTGGTCTGGCACAGCAGGAGTGGAGGGTCCCAGAACTGCTACACAGATTGCTTAGTTACCTGGAGCCTAAACTCACTCAGGTTTATAAGAATGTGAGAGAGCGCATCGGCAGGTAGGTCTGCGGTTCGAGCCGTCCCTGTTATCTAAAAATATACTAGCAGTTCCACTGATTCTTTGTTGTCATGATTTCTTTACTTGCAGTGTGCTGACGTACATTTTCATGATTGATGTCAACCTGCCATGTACTCTGCCTACCAAGTCCCCACACATCGCTGACTTTACTGAAAGGATCTTGTCTAAGCTGAAGCCCCTGATTGAGGGGGACGAAGAGATTCAGAACCACGTGGTTGAAGAGAACGGAGTGGGAGAGCAGGACGAGAGGACACAGGCCATTAAACTCTTCAAAACAGTTCTGAAGTGGCTGATGGCCAGTGCGGGGCGCTCCTTCTCTACGCCAGTACCTCAGCAACTACAGCTGCTCCCCTTGCTTTTTAAGGTTTCGGACACTCTCTCTATCTTGGCGTATGCTCATCTTTTATCCATTTGTGTGGAGTGCTTTTAAGTGGAATGCTGACTTTCACTCTGTGCTGGTCTGTGCTGATCTGCAGATCGCTCCCGTAGAAAACGATGACAGCTATGATGAGCTGAAGAGAGATGCAAAGACGTGTCTGTCCCTCGTGTCTCAGGGTCTCCTCTATCCTCAGCAGATTCCTCTGGTACTGCAGGTGCTACGTGAGGTGAGGCTTCAGCCGTGCCAGACACAAAACAGGACAACAATTCAACAATTCTTGACTAATTTTTCACACAAGTTGTTATCAGTGTCATTGTTAAATATAAATAAAAAAACTAAAACTATTGGAAAATGGCTGTCAGTAAATTGAAGTAACGTGGAAATAAAATATTAATATTTGATTCAATCTTAAAAACAATAAATAAATAAAGTTTTGGTTTACTGAAACTAAAACTGAAGAATTAAAGTTATACAGAAATATTTAAAAAAATTATTTAAATGACAAATCACTACAACTGAGACTAAAACTGTAGAACTGTAAATATGAAAATAAAAGCTAACTAAAAATATTAATAGTTATAATACAAAAATAACAATGGTAATGTTAATAAAATGAAAAAAAATTTATTCAATACATTTTAATAAGAAAATAGACCAAAATGCTGTATTTTCTGAACGTATCGGTACAAAACTCGGTATGGATCATCAGTACGATGTTCCAAATGCTTATAACTATGGGTATGGTTGACTTATTTTCACGGGATCTCATTAGATTCCTGAATCCTTGCCGAGTCCAACGAGACCAAACATGTTAGGTTTCGCCTTACGATCCGTGTAGCGTTGTGATTAAGCGCTTAAACCATTTGCCAATATATTTAAAACCGGTGCAGTTTCAGATTTAAAGCTTTGCATGTTTCCATGCACTTGGAGCTGTTACACACTACATGTACACTACTTTTTCAAAAATCCACAATAGAGGCACTTTACAATGTCTTTAATTGCTCATTGTCTTATCGTCTTTTGGCTTGGCAAATATAGTTGCAGCTATATTTGTAATTATTATGAAAAAAAGAAAATTTTATTATGTCATTTATCTTTTTTTTCTTTAGTTCCTTACCCAGTTCTAGTTCAGTAGTACAGTTTGCTGTGGAATCATACGGTTCTTGTTATATTTTCAGATCGCTGGCAGCAGCTCTTGGCATGCACGGTTCTCAGTGCTAACATACCTCCAGATAATGGTGTTCTATAATCTGTTCACCATACTGAGCACCGAGCAGGCTGTTCAGGATGTAAGAACACTGGTCATCAGGCTACTGGAGGATGAGCAGCTGGAGGTACCTTCTGGGCAACACTGAATAAATGATGGTGCCAGCATGCCAGTTTTACGCACCCTTGTTCATTAAACCTTCATCTCTTTGCATGTCTGTGCCTTAGGTGAGAGAGATGGCTGCGACCACTCTCAGCGGCTTCCTGCAGTGTAACTTCTTGGCAATGGATGCCTCCATGCAGACGCACTTTGAGGCTCTATGCAAAACTAGATTGCCCAAAAAGAGGAAAAGAGACTTGGGCTCTGTGGTGGATACCATTCCTTCAGTTGGTATGATCACGCTTTAATCACATGCAGTGCTGGAACTGTTTGGGTCGTAACCATGGCACAACATTTATGCCCACAGAATTTAAGAGCCAAAATCATTTAAGTACGAGTCCAGTCTGTCTTATCCTGTTAGTAAAAACGCCTGTGAAAAAAACAATAAATTACTCTCTTTTTTTAAGTTCTATATTTATGAACATATTTTTTGATGAAACAAAATTTAAATTTATTTGATTAAAAATACATTACAAACTTCTTATTGTATGTTATTACGATATAAAATGTATTACAATACCTATTTCCCTGCTCTTCCAATGAAGAGAATACAGGGCTTTTATATTATTTTAAAATATAATTCCTGTGATAGCAAAGCTGATTTTTCAGGATCATTACTCCTGTCTTCAGTGTCACATGATCATTTAGGAATCATTCTGATTTGGTGCTCAAGAAACATTTCTTCTATTCATCAATGTTGAAACATGTTGAGCTGCTTAAAGTTTTTATGGAAACCATGAAGCATTTTTCTTCGATGAATAGAAAGTTCAAAAGAACAGCATTTATTTGTATAAGAAATATAAAGTAAAAGTCTTTACTGTCACTTTTGGTAAATTTAGTGTCCTTACTGAATAAAAGAAAATGAATCAAAAGATGTTAATCTTTCCTCAGATCTGGTGCGGCGTCACGCTGGAGTGCTGGGACTCAGCGCTTGCATCTTATCCAGCCCGTATGATGTCCCGACCTGGATGCCTCAGCTCCTCATGGACCTCAGCGCTCACCTCAACGACACACAGCCTATCGAGGTACACGGCTCGTCACTACACACAAACACAATTGGTTTCTGTCTCCCTCTTGTGCGCTTCGCTCTTAGAGCCCATTAAATCTAACAAAAATCAATACAAGCCTCTCTCCACCTGATTTAGATGACTGTGAAAAAGACTCTGTCTAATTTCCGCCGCACTCATCACGACAACTGGCTGGAGCACAAGCAGCAGTTCACGGACGACCAGCTCGTGGTGCTCACAGACCTTCTCGTGTCACCTTGCTACTATGCATAGATTGGGTATGTTACATAGACGCTCATTTAAGTTAATCCTATGATGCACAACAAACACTATCACGGTTGGCAGCTCACTAGGTTTTAAAACACAGCCATACTGATTTGGACTGCTAATCTTGTTGCCAAAGTAACTCATTAATGAAAGCTGTTTTAGTCTGCAAAAGCTGTGATTGTGACCTGATCATATTTGATGTTTCTTTTCAGGTTGAAACAATGTTTTAGTTTTTTTTTAGTTTTTTTTGTTTTTTTTACTTTATATTCAAATAAAATATGTTCTGCATTAATGGGGATGTGACGGGAGGACACTGATGCTCAGGATCTCAGCATCTGTAGCAAAACCTCTCGAACCCAGACCCAGGAGCCCACTAAACCATGAGTATGATAAGAGGAGGGCAGGAGGCACGTATAGGCATGAAGGAGTCGGATGGAGGACACATACACAAAGCGAGCGATTCAACTATTTCGAAATATACTCTGTACGTACTGTTTGTATGTATATATCTAGCCCATATTTTTGCATTTCAACTATACTTAATATTTAAGGTTTACCAGCGCAGGGATGTACTGCCTGCAGTCTGTAATATTGTTGTACAGATAGATGATTCCCCCCCCCCCCATAATCCTGTGTTGACATTAAAAGTGTGATGAAGGACAGAATGCCTAACTCCAAAGCCCCGATCATGCTCTCTTGACTTAAGGTTCTCAGTGAATTCTCAATACCACTTTTCCCCATTACACTGAGATATTTTTCATCATTTAGCATTTTGTTTTGTTTTTCTTAAACCTTTTACAGCTAGGAGCATGCGATTCTCGGTTGAGTGACATAGAGCCAGCATCTTTTCGACTTAAATCTCCGTGGTAATCGGATGTGGCATGCACCTCTTTGGCTGTTGTTGCACTACGCTAGACTGGCATCAGTAAGTTGACGAAGTATATATTGGGGCTGAGCCTTCCTATTTTTTTATCATTACATGAGGATGCAAGTCTGAGTAATGTGACGTTATTGTAGGAAGGTAGCTTTGACATTGTCCTGCATCTCTCTGCTCACTTGCCATCACAACAGGGTTTTGTTTTGTCCTATGTGTTTGTGTATTCATATGTGTATGTATGCATTTGTGTATTGTACGTACGCATTTACCTATGCATAAACGACTGACAAGTCATCTAGTGAGAACGGCCTGACCAGATTTAGTGTGAAAATTGTTTGTGGAAGGCGGCGAGATACACATGCATGTTGGTTTGAGTGTGCATGTTTGTAGTTTGACCAAATTATGGCGGCGTGATGGTGTTTTGAGCCATTACTAATTGGCAAGTGACAGATTCCAGGATTGTTTTTGTTCTTCTGTCACAATTCACTCCAGCCTCAGTACATAACCACTTAAGATTGTTCTCTGAGTCACACCCAGCGCTAGGAAGATATTCAGGTTCTACCATGGTTAGTTTTGTTTTACATTTGGGAGTGTACATAACAGAAACATTATTTAGCTTAGTGCCAAAACTCCAGTGATTTTTCTTCTTTTTTTTTTCTTCTTTTTTTAGATGTTTGCTTCATTTTACTCTCAAGGCCAATAAATGAGTTATTGTTTTTAATAAATTAAAAATGCAAACCTTGTTTTTCCCCACAATATTGCTACTTTTTTTTTTTTTTTAGCTGGGTCTCGCAATATCAAAGTCCTTATTATCTAGTATAATTATTATAAACAAAAACTCTTGGAGAGACATTAGCATTTGGACCATTGTAGTGAATTCAGGAAAGATCAAGTATACAATGTTATCGGTACAACAGACATGTGGAAGAGTGCAGTTGTAACTATTCAGACAAAGTATATTCTTAATAAATAAAGTGATTAATTTAGGTGAATCTCATAAATTCTGTTTGAAACTTTCCAAAACGTTTTCACCATATAGGCCTGGTAAGCCTTAGTTAAATTAGTTAACTAAATAATTATAAATATTATAATCCTAATTACAATGAATCCACACATACCAGAAAAATTGCCCATGTTACATTAAAAAAAGTGCATGAAATGAATAGCATGTTAATGTGAATTTGGTGGGAAACCATAACTGAAATGCCATTCAAATAATGTTACACGAAGCAAAAATAATTCTTAATGGTGTCAAGAAAATGTTTCATGTTATCAAATTCATAAATTACACACACACACACATATATATATAATGTAATTTTTTTTTTTAAGTGACAAACATGTTCATGAGATTCACCCTTCCATGGTTTATTTGAAAGTAAGGAACTTCAGAAATGAATAAGAAATGGCTTTGTAATATATTTGAAGTTTCCTCGCCAGACTACTAACTTTTTTTTGCATTTTCATGGACGGAATGACATAAATATTACAGCATACATTGAAATCCATTTAAGTACCTGATATGTTTCTCAATGTTCAACACAAAAGACGAATAATGTTAAACGTTATGTCATAAAATCAAGTGTTCAGTAAAGAGTCTGCCTTGGATAATTCTATTTAAAGAACAGAAAAGTATTGGCTATCTAAGTATTGGTAACGGCTTAGTTTGCATCAGCTGTCATAGTTGATAAATAAGGGAAAATTAACTAAATTCCTGAGTTCTTAAGAAGATTAAGTACAACATAGACAATCACTCCATCTCCTGCTTCTGCAGCTCCTTCACAAGGCGCTCCAAAGAGAACAGGTGATCATCGAAGTCATCAGGAACTAGTTGCCTGAGGGCATTGGCTAGCTCAAACAGGTAATCTGAATTCTTGCCACTGGGACCAACAGACTTCACAATCTGCTGAGCAATTGTCTCCAAAGGCGCTGGGCCAAGGTAATTTGGGTTGTTATGGCATCCGATGTAGAGCAATGTGTCCTGCATTGGTTGGTGTTCTTCATCTTTTGGATGAAATGTGACTGTGATCACCCCATACCCGCCTTTTTCTCTGTAGTCGAGATACTCTTTCACTTCCTTTTCTCGGCCTGATGGCAACTTATAAGCAACACCCCATACGCATCCCTACAGACAAGAGGAGAGTGAATGAACACGCACACAGTTTGGAATATTCATGCATGTGAATGAAATGCATGTAAAGCTAATGCTATCATTAAATGATAATATTACAAATATATTTTTTTAAAAGGCACTTCCCATTAAAATGGAATAAAACAGGGTTGGAAACTTTTGAATATTTATATTTTTAGTTAAAGACTCAATGTATAAAAAAAGTTTAATAATTAATCTATTTAAAAATCAATAAAATAAGAACAAAACTAAAAACATTAGGTGTGATCATTTAAGATTTAATCACCATTTAAGATGGGATACAGACCTGTATTGGTTTTTAAAACTATACAGTCAGTACTGATTATATTACATATGCTAATCAGATTCCAAAAATTAAATACTTGTAAGTATTTATTATATTGCATTTTAAAATAGTCAAGTTAAATTTTTAAAATATACAGACTACAGTAACTTTTTTATTGATTACATGATTACTTAATTATAAATAACTCGTTTCATTCCCAAACCCTAATTTGGGTAACTGTGACATACTGCAATGTTTCAAAATTCAAAACAATGTGATAAACAAGTAAACTAAAAGTAGTCTGATTATATTACCTAAATGTGTAATGTAATAGTTAATAACTACAATTTATATCATGTAGGCTAATTTGCATTCAGTATGGACTGCAATTTGAGATCATACCAGCACTGGATGCATTTTAATGCTAGAGAATTATAACTGTACATAATTACTATTGGATAATGTTAATCAAATATCTAATGTCTAAAAAAAAATGTCTCCAATGCAATAGAAAAAAACAAGCCATGGGTGATGGGTCAAAAAAGTAGAATGTCGGCATTTTTATTGGCTTTAGTTCGGCAGTATAAAGGTAACGTTAGCAGTATTTCATTACCTCAGGATCTTCTATTAATGTCACCACTCGCCCAGGCTGAAATGAAATCAATAAGAAATAAGAGTGTTAATCGCCCTGTGTTAAGTGCTCTGTCAACCTTAAAGGTCACTATGACTGGACACCTGCTGTTGATCAATTCGGATGACTTTGATAGGGAATAATCGGGTCCATACCTTTCCAGGCACCCCGCGATGATCCGTACTTCCCTGCCAGAACCTGCGACTAAAACCTTTGACGAAACCCACTCGTTTCTCCTCGTACGGAAAGTCGACTTTCCAAATCAAAGATCCGTAACCAAAAACCCACATCTTTGCTGCTGTCTGCTCACGGTGTGTCTGCTAAACACATGCTGTACAGCCTCAACTTATATGTGGATGGACGTGTTTTTTAGGGCCTGTGTGCGTGCCACTGAGTTAGGTGTGTTGTTGACAGGGTTGGCATATCGTGTTCTGTTAGTTGTTTTGTATCACTGAAGATTACAAAAGAAACACACGTTACTTGGCAAGGGCATAGCCGAATATACCTCGCATCAAGTTTCCTCCCTTGACGTCGTTTGACGTCTAATTTAAAAGCTGTCATGAAACAGCGTTAAAATCTGTACGCCATTAGTTGAAGCTATAAACCATAGTCTGTGTAAGCTGGATAATGTGAGATAATCATTTTTTCAAAATAAAAGCCAGTTTACCAGCTTTAAAAATAACCCTTAAATAAATCACCACCATGGTAATCAGAATATCCACCAAAATATTTAAATATTTATATAATAATTGGGTCATTCCTGGTATGCGGTGACATTTTGGCTTCATAAGTGTTGGAAAAAAAAGGAGATGATTTTCATGTTTTATAGCATTCTACCAAAATATTGACATGTTTAACTATAAGGTTTACATATTGGTCAAGCTCAGGGACTCTGAAAATAATAATTATGGGTAGATTGTTCAGACATGCCCATGAAAATATTCCACCCTGTTAGGGACATATACATAGTTATCACAACATGTTAATAATGTAAATGTTAAACAATAATGAGCTTTTCTTGGATAGTATGTCCCTTATGCCATCTTAGATTTTTTTTTCTTGAAACAAGCAAAACAATTTTTGATGAAGAGAATATGTCTTGATTATTAAAAACTGGTACTTTTTGTGCCCATCTTTGCAAATAGGATGGTAAATAACAATAAAAAATGGCTCAAAAACATATATATATATATGTGCTGTTAGTGCTCCTTACCTCACAAAATAAGACAAAAGTATGCCAGACATTTAATGTTGCTGTCAAATTATTATTTAAAATGACTTGTCTAACTGGGTGGAAAGGAGCATAACAGGGTGGAACGGAGTATAACAGGGTGGAACACCAGTGTTCAGTGGATGAGCCTTTTGTCATTGTCCTGGTTTACCATTGATAATGTGTGGAACTGCACCTATAACATATTGTTTCAAAACAATAAAAAAAATCCAAATTTTCTTTGGGGGAGGGACACAAAAAAATATCTGTGGTTCCTCATCATAATCAATCATGGGGGCAAAACAAAACAATTCTCTCTTCAGATGGCTAGAGAAATATTTACAAATTAGAGAAGACAGGCATAATAAATTACATTTTTATTTATTTATATTTGATTAAAAATATAGATGATATTATTCATTTGAATTAACTAGATTAACAAACAAATACAAAATTCATCACAAGAAGGAACAGTAATGGACAGTGATCCCCTTTGTGGTGTTTTGGCTACATCAACTTACTAGATTAACAAACAAAATAAAAAGAAAAGCAAAAAGGCAGGGGAAAAGAACTTTAAACTCTAATGGAAAGAACCATCTCAGCATAGGATGGTATACTATATAAATAACCTTTATATAACAATCTTTGATATATATATATATATATATATATATATATATATATATATATATATATATATATATATATATATATATATATATATATATATATATTAGGATATAGATATAGATATATATAGATATAGATATGTGTATGTATACATACATAGAACTTGCTATATGCATTAAATACTAATTATTCTATTAGAATTTCCACCCTGTTAGGTTTATAGACCTAACAGGGTGGAACCTAACAGGGTGGAAAATTCTGAGCAAAGTTAGCCATAGCTCTTTTAGTGATCAACATTTAGCTAGCTAAACTTCTACAAATTAACAGAACTTTTATAACTATGTCAGATTTGTTTTTAAATTTTTTTGATAGGACAAACATTCTTCATAACAAAGCCGAACAGGGTGGAACTTTAAGGGTGGGACAAGCAGGATAACATCTCAAAAACTAAAAAAAAAAAAAAAAAATAGGACTGAGAGTTAAAGCTTACCTCAGTTTGTACAGTTGAATTCCAGCAAGTAAAAGAAATTAAATCACTTCTTGAAAATGGACTCAATGAAATTGCAATCGGATTTGGAAGGCAAAAAAGTACATACTAACAGGGTGGAAGATGACTTCAGGGACGCAGTAATTTAAAACTTAAAATTTTAAGAAAAATACCTATATTTTCACATGATTTATATGTATGATTAGATGCAATTTAGCCTAGTCTATAACATAATTAAAAAATATTTTGAAGTTTTTGTCATTTCTTGGTTTATATTTTTTTTAAAAGCTGATTACTGTGCACTGAGGACATGAAATAATTGAATGCATACATCAATAAAAATGGTGTAAATTACAAAATAGTATTTTTAATGTCTAGTATCTCTGTTTAAATTGTAAAGAATACTTAAATCTACAATTTAAGCCATTTATTATAAATATGTGACTCATTTTAGAGAAAATATGAGTATATAAATCATTGGGACAGGAAAAGTCACCACATACCAGGAATGACCCAATTACAAAATAATTACAGTACTGTAGTAGTCATTTTCGAATTTTTAGCTAGTAACAATAGCTGTTGTGATGGATTATTGATCCATTAACCTATAATTTTAAAATATGTAGAGCTGTAAAAAAAAAAATACAATACTAAATAAATCACGAAATAATTAGTTTTTTTGTTTTTTATACTTTATTTTGAACATGTAAAAAACAGATAAGAATACAAAACGACATATATACAAACATGCATTCTCAGCACAATCTTCCAAAATGATTGTAAGTGGTTCAAATTAGAAATTCCCATGTTCAAAAAGGAGTAGGAAGAAGTTTATATCAAACTTTTCAAGTCCTTCGTGCCACTGCTTTGTCCATATTTTTTACAGTCTATGGTCCTACCCTTTCTATTTATTTATTTTTAACCTTTAGCTGAATACAAACAAATTCTTCTCATTCATTTCCATCTGTAGCAAATCAATTAATAACACCTTCATAGTAAACTTAATATGTAGACCTAGTAGGCCTAACCTGTGTCCAATACTAAACTCTCGAGTCCTTTTCGTATCCCTTTAATATCTTCAATTTAAATAGTCTTTTAAAATTACTCATTTTTGTACATGATTTAATTTCTTCACTGCAGCTCACTGCAGATTCATTCATCTATTCCTTTATTTTAATTAGTTACTTTTATACAAATTAAAATGAAATTTGTAGGTTTTCTAACAGCTTGTTCACTTTGCATCGCCTTTGTTTTATATGTTGCTGTAATGTTATTTAATTATATATATCTAGTTAGATTTTTTTTTTTTTTTTAGTATGGATCAAATAACAAGCAGGTATAAAGCACAGAACATATTGAACTTCGACATGAACCAAATTATATCAAGTATATATAAAGCTTCACACACACACACACACACATATATATATATATATATATATATATATAAAATAAAAAGACATACACATGGAAAAAAATATCATCATAATACTTCAAGAATCTGTCAGTTTTTACTTGTTTTAAATCAATCTTAGAGACTTCAGAAATGTATCAATTTCGATTTAGAAATGTGGAAAAGTAGGCTGCGATTTAGAGAATTTTTGCTTGTGAATAAAATTTGTCCCCCCCCCAAAAAAAGAACAATGTAACTAATTGAAGTACTAGCTTTATCTTCTTTATAGTAACAAATTATATCCTTTAATTGAAAGGATTTGGAAGAATCAAGCTGCTTGCCAATGAAGATATAACCTATTCCAGAAGTTTTGGGGTTTTTCACATTGGAAAAATTAATGGATCAGCGTTTCATACTCATTCCTCTAGTTAGATATTAGCTAGTTAAATATTTGAATAATGACGTTGCTAGATACTGTCATTTATTGAATAATATCTCCCGGTGTCTGGTTTCGGTTTAGTTATAGACGGAACGCAATGTAACAACCGTCTGTTCTAGCCGGAGCCCTGAAAGCCAATCAGAAAACAGCATCGCCGGAAGTTAAATTTATCCGGTCTGGCTTGTGGAATCAGTCATTATTAATTTATATGTTTACAGATGTTTAGAACCGCAAAATGATTTCACTTATCTTTTTGTTGTCTTGTGGACATCTTAAAGATTCAAAGTGGGGAGATAAACTAGACTACTAGCATACTTGAAGTGGTTAAATCGTAATTTTGCGATCAAAGCACCGATATCTGCCCTGCTTATCATGTAACGTTAACCTAGTGTGCACTTGACTTCACTGTTATATAGATTTAACCTGTGGCACTGCAGTATAAGGTAGGTGTAATTCAAGACCTGGAACTGTCAACGTGCACTCGGTTGAGAGCCACTTTGTGTAAGTGATATAACGTTAGCATGAACTATTTCAGTAATGTTTGAGGGGTAACGTTAGTGTGCGGAGGGAAAAGTCGATGGACTTCACGGAGTGCTATGGAGACACCTGTTCCGCCGTCGCGCTGGCAGCCCGGGAGGGGAATGGTCGGCGGGTGCAGAAGCTCATCCATAGAGGTTTCGCGGTGGACGTTAAAGATAACCGGGGCTGGAACGCCCTGCATGAAGCCGCGGCGGCTGGATCAGCGGAGTGTGTGCGGCTACTCCTCCATGCACCCGGTAAGAGCTTAACATTAACTGTTAACTTGCATACTAAGGACTGTTCTAAAGATTTTTTTTATATGTTGTAAATATGTATAAAATAATGTGTATAAATTAAACCTTGTGAAATTTCAAATCAATCAATATGGTCATATTAGTCCTGTGTGCATCTTTCTTTTTCAGAGCAAAGACTTGAACATTATAACATTTAATCTTTTATTGTAAGGGTTTTGCTTCATAGATCGCACATTTGTTTATTCATAACAAAATTAAACTAGGAATCAATCAATCTATTCACGTTAGTCATTTCCTGTGTGTGTGCATCTTTGATACAATTTCTCTGTTAACGGTGTTCTTGGATTTTTACAGTACATTACTGGCAGCATGGTTATGCATATATTTTATCAGTATATATATTTTTTTGAATATCTTATTATCTGTTCAGCAGAATAAAGAAACCAAAGGTTTGGAACAACATGAGGGTGAGGAAGTGATGACAAATATAATTTTTGGGTAAACTATACCTTCAAAGGGATAGTTCAACCAAAAAATTAAAATTAGCCTTATATAGTATAGATTTCTATACTCACTCTTAAGCCATTATAGGTGTATATGACAATGGTTGTTCTGTTTTGAAAGTCCATAAAGGTGCATCTATCCATGATAAAAGTGCTCCACACTATGGGGGGTTAATAAATGCCTTCTGAAGT